CTGCCTCACATGGTGCCCGTCTCTCCTCAGTGCCCTCAGGAGATCAGTCTGCCAACCCTACCGGTGTTCCAGGGAGCACCAAGCTAGCCACTCTGATTACACCAGAGGTCAGTCTCGAGAGAATAATTCCCTTAGTAGACTATTTAGCAGTGTGGAAACTATTGCTAAATGTGTCTCAATGGGTCCTGCGCACTGTAGAGAGAGGCTACAGAATCCAACTTGGTTCTCCTCCGCCTACGGTTCAACGAGGTTACCCCACTCTGGTGGGTCCCGAGCAGGCTTTGGTAATGGAACAAGAAGTAAACACTCTCTTGAGGAAGGAGGCCATTGAGGTGGTCCCTCCTCACGAAAGAGAATCCGGGTTCTACAGCCGGTACTTCATTGTTCCAAAGAAGGATGGAGGGTTGCGTCCCATTTTAGATCTGTGTCAGTTAAACCGCTCAGTCATGCGACTGAAGTTCAGGATGTTCCACTCTATCAAATCTGGTCTCAGATCAGGTCAGAGGACTGATTTGTCATGATCGATCTAAACGACGCATACTTCCATATCTCCATCCTTCCTCATCACAGGAAGTTCCTGAGGTTCAGTTAACATTCCTGGGCATCTCAATGTGGGAGCAGACATCCTGTCGAGGCAGGGGCCGAGGCCCGGGGAATGGAGGCTTCACACCGAGGTGGTGAAGCAGATATGGAGATTTTTGGCAGGCTCAGGTGGACCTGTTTGCGACTCAGATGACATCACACTGTCCCCTCTGGTTCTCTCTGAGTCATCCAGCTCCTCTCGGACTGGACGATATGGTGCAGACTTGGCCGAGGCTTCGTCTGTACGGTTTTCCCCCGATCGCTCTGCTCCCGGGAGTTCTGGAGAGAGTGCGCCGGAACGGAGTCCGGCTGCTGTTAGTAGCCCCGTTCTGGCCGGGCCAAGTATGGTTCTTGGACCTGATTTCTTTTCTTGACGGCTCTCCATGGGAGATTCCCGTCAGGAGGGACCTCCTCTCACTGGCGGAGGGCACGATATTCCACCCCCGCCCGGAGCTGGAAGTTATGGGTGTGGCCTCTGAGGGGGCACAACTCGTAGCTTCCGGTCTCTCAACCGAGGTTGAGACCATCCTCCAATCCAGAGCTCCCTCAATGAGGAAACTGTATGCCCTGAAGTGGAAACTTTTCACTTCTTGGTGCGGAGACCGCCAGCTCAACCCAGTCAACTGCCCAGTTGGTACAGTTCTGGAGTTCCTGCAGGCCCTTCTCTCCGCAGGGTTGACCCACTCCACCCTAAAGGTCTACGTGGCGGCCATTGCGGCCTACAGCGCCCCTATTGGTGGCCAGTCAGTGGGCAGACACCCCCTGGTTTTACATTTCCTCCGCGGTGCGCTGAGGCTGCTGAGGCTGAGGCCTCTGGCCAGAGAAGCTTATGCTAAGCGGTGGATCAGGATGCTATTCCATAGCCTCGAGTTCTCTGATCTCCCCTCTCCGTTGGGGGTCAAGACTCACTCATTCTGAAGTTGGCCTTCGGGCAGGATGTCCCCGCCCACTTTGTCAGGTGCCTATCTGCTTTCTGCGCCACTCCTGGCTTCGTTCTCTCGCTTTAGCTGAGCTCTTCCACACTAGGCAGGGATTTGTAAGTCGGGCGGCGTGGGCATTCTCGTTCCCATAGCGTTTCGACGCAGCTCGAGTTCCTGAAGGGGAACGTCTCCAGGTTACGCATGTAACCCTAGTTACC